GATCTTCACATCCCCTAGACAATCACAGCCTTACTTTTGTTCTTAATCAGTTCTAGTAAGTGGTTCAAAACGTCAATGACTCTCTATTCCATATTCACTAAGTCACAGATGCAGATTTGTGTCCCTAAAATTACCTGTCTTCCTGAATGAAATTCCATAGACATAGAGGACCACAACAAAATCGCATTAAGCTTATTGGATGATCAACAGGCACTACTCGTGGTGCCTGGGTTTGGGTGCTCTATCAACACTATCCACTGTGTGACTTACTAAAACAACACAAATGTATTTCTCACTGATCTGAAGGCTTGACGTTTGATATCAAGGAGCAGTTCTTGGCAGTTTCTGGTGAAGCCTCTGTTCCACGGTTACAGACCACTGATTTCCACTGGGATTTTCACATGGTGGGAAAGAACATTAGCTAGTTTCCTGGCATGTTTTTATAAAGACACTCACTAATCCTACATAAAAGGCATCTATCCTCATGATTTAATTACCTCTCGAAGGTCACACACACAGATTAGAATTCAACAACTAAATTTTGAGGAGATAAAACCCTCCAGTCCTGGCTTCAGGCCACCTTCTACTTAGTGTTGCTGACACTGTGACTACCTTACTGCTTTATGCCTTAGAGACTGACCATACTCTTTATTGTGTCCATTTATCTCCACTTCTCTCACGATTGTGTTTCTAATGTCTATCACTTCTACCTAGGTATCTGAGACTCATTCACAGCCCTACCTTTCCTGAGCTATCATTACCAACTATGAGAAACAGAACCACTCCTAATTACAATAAACAACCACCTTTGCAGCTAAATACTGACCAGTGCTTTTTTGGATGTATCCATCTTAAGCTACTTCCCAAATTCCAGATCTATAATGTCATCCATCCACATGATATCTTCCATTACTGATCTTTGAAATAACTTAGAAGAGCGAAAAGCAATTAATTAAAATATCCTCAATGAAAATGAACCTGAATCCCAGCTTTATATACCATCTGACCAAGTTTTCATCCTTCCAGATCTAAAGTCCTAGATCAGCAGTTCTCAACTTGTGGATTGCGACCCCTTTGGGGACTGAACAGTCCTTTCACGGGGGTCCCCTAAGACCATCGGAAAACATACAACTTCAAATTACGACTCATAGCAGTAGCAAAATTACACTTACAAAGTAGCATTGAAAGTAATTTTATGGTTGGGTGTCACCACAACATGAGGGACTGTATCAAAGGACCACAGCATTAGGAAGGTTGAGAACCACTGTTCTAGAGCCTGAACCAATATTTGACTATTACCTTCCCTTCTTTAAAATCTGAGACCCTACGCAGCACTAATTTCAAAACTAATCTAGACTCCTACCACTTCCTCTACCTTCATTCTGGTCTAGTTATTATTAACACTCACCTGGACTACTAAAGCAGCATCCTCCATGGGCATCTTATTGTCTCCCTCACAACAACTGGGTTCTCCATGCTACCGAAACATGGAGGCTGATGTGACTAACATCAGATCACCTCCCTTCCCGCCCCATCCCTGTTTCTAAATGTCCCCTTGCTCTCATCACGCTAAAGCAGATACTGAAATTCATTCTACGTCTGAATCCTACCCTGTTGCTTTCATTCAGTTCCCATAGAAGAAAACACTTGGGGTGGGGGAATCTATGAATGATCTCCAAGCATTTACACATTCCAATGTCTGGCTCAATCTCATTCTATTGTTTGTTACCACTGGGAACTACTCCAAAGAACCCCCAACACTGAATCAGGACCCTGTGCTTGGGTTTGTTAAGGGTCCTTTGACCCAAGAAATGGTCATGAGAAATGACAGTCTGAAACATACTCTCCTCACCTGCATAAGGGCCATATCCAATTCTGCAGTAATGGTTACCTGTGAGAAGAGAGATATCATGAACAATGGTAAGGATCCAAACCCTTGGGTCTTCCCATACACTCTCCCAACAAGGAACAAAATGACCAGGGGGATGTCTTCGATACATCTGTTACCTGTGGGGCCCTAATAACCCAACCCACACAGTGAGCAGCTTTTTGGAAAACCGAAAACCCACACTCAAGTCTGTGTGATTTTGTCTTTTCTCTGTACACGAATTCTTATGTCGTAGGGATAAGGATAAACCTCTTCATCTTACTATTACAGCTTAAATATTCCAGGCTTCAACATCGGTCCAAGAAATTCCACACCCTGGGGCCCTGGCTGTCACACACTCTGCCACATCTCATCACAGTGGCTTGGCACATAAGAACCCCGAATCACGAACAAGGATTTAGGGCGAAGCGACTTAAGTGGACTCCTACACTCAGACTTTACAAGATAAGAGGTGAGAGCAAGGGAGCCTCAGATGTCGCAGCACTTACCTAAGCCTGGTGCCTGTGCGCAGCCATCCAACTGGGCGAACACAGACCGCAGGGAGATGGGGACGGGGACCTGGGCAAATCTGTCGCCGCCAGCGCCCGATGTGCGATGAATACTACCTCTAGAACCGCTCCTTCAGACTCTTCGTCCCCTATCTCTGGACAAAGGGGTCCTGCACACGGTCAGCTATAACGGACCCAAAAACCGCTAAAATGAGCGCCACAGAGAGCAGCCGGAAGTCCCGCCCCAACCTACCAGTAAGAACGCGAAAATGGTACCGTTCCAAATGCTCATTGGTTCAGGTTTCCTCTCCCTGTGACTAGCGCATTCTGGGTAACGTAGTTTCTTCAGTTGTGCGTGTGAAAGCTGTGGACCCCCCATCACCTGGAACAAAGGCTAAGCGGGATGCTGGGAAATGTCGGCATGGACGGAAGCAAACAAGACTTTTCCAGCTATTTGTTTTCTGTTCTGTTTTCCTACTTCGTAGTCTTGGGGCACCCCAGTATTTTCCAACGAGGGTGCCAAGAGAATACCCCAAAGGGCTGTAAGTAAGCGACACTGGAGGGCAAAGGGCTGTGTTTGGCTGGAATAGCAGGGCCTGAGGGAGCAGAAACTTCTTCACTTTGTGTCCAGATGCTGGACAGACATCCTGATGGAAGCCAATGCCTAGCCTCCAGAACCCGCTGTGGGCCCTCAGCCTCCCAATCCACTGCTGGAGAATATCTTGGGGGAGTCTCATCTATATCTTGAGGTGTGTTACACTAGAGCCCTCCCTTGGTATTCTAACTGCCGCCCCCCTCCATTTTTCATGATGCTTAAGTTGCCCTCACTTTCTGTCCCCTCAGCGGATGCATTACAGATCACACATGGCTTCTTAAACTTCAAATATACATCCAGAAGCTAGGGAGTTAGCTGAATGTCATGGATCTCATGAGGCGCATAGATGCATCTCTAGAAAAGCAGGATGAATGTGAGGCCCCCAAGTTCAGCACAACTCCCTCTCTTCTGAGAGCAAAGACCTTTGCAAACAGATCCCGCCTGGCATCTGCAGAAGTGGTCAGCTGTAGCACCATCTTAGTCATAAACTAAGGTGAGATGTAGCCACAGTCCACAACTGCCGAAAGACAAAGCTGAACAGAGTTTAAGCAATTCTGAAACTTTTAGTCTGGGAAAAAGTTGTTTTTCTGCATTTGTGTATTCAGCATCGGTCCATCTCTGGACGAAACAAATAGCTAAAGTTGTCTCCTCAAGATGATGATGTACAACATGTGATTCCAGTAACCGGTAGGCAAGAGAATCATTAGTTTTGGGCCAGCCTGGCTACATAGCAAAACCCTAAGTCAAACAAAGCAACAAAAGTAACAACAAATACCAACAGGAAAAGGCAACTCAACAGGTTGAGTGTGGAAGGAACTATGGCCAGCTTGAGCATGGTGAGCATGAAGAACATGGCTCTAGCAGGCCTTGCTCCTCTCTCCCATTCCCTCTACCTTGCTAAAAGCCATTAGATTGCATTCTTAAAGCTTGCCTGCAGGGTCTATTCTTGTATTTGGTCACTTCCTCCTTTTGAGGTTGACTACCAAGGTCCAGGTATCAAAGTACATAAGTCACAAATATCCCAGTCCCCTTTCCTTCTCCCTCTTCCTTCTGTCTCACATTTCTTTCTTATTCCCTGCCTTCTGTCCTTCTGGGGTGAATACATTTTCTTTGTGCTGAGAACTTGGCCTTGAAGGTCCTGTGTTGATCTTTCTTTTCAAGTGTCCTTTCCGAGTGACTCAGTTGGTCTAAACTTCTCCCAGGCAGCTGGGATGGATTCTGCTTCTTCTTGGCAGCCAGTTTGGGCTCAATCTTCTTTGCAGCCTGGCTTGTTTACACTTAGGAAGAAGGCACCTAGGGAATCTGCTCAGTGTCAAGGATTTCCTGAAGCTGTTTTGACTTGTCTCAGCTTCCTCCCAGCATATGGATGGAATGTTTTAATCTGACAGTTAACAGTCACCCAGCAAAGCTATATATGTATCCCTAAACAGTACAAGGAGGTTGTAGAAATAAATGAAGGCTTGGTCACTAGACTTGAGAGGAATGTTTGCAATCGTCAGAGTTCACTTGTTTTGCTGTAAAGCTTTTCCATTTCCTGTTTATCACACCCAGTATTATATTTCCAATTAGGGATCACATCTGGGTCTTACCAAGCCTGAATAAAACCATCATATGTGAATTTCTAGACAGGTCATGTGACTCCTTATACAGCAGGCGAAAACCCCTCTTTACAGTGTCACAGATGAACAAATTCATGCTATCACTAGAAGGGCAGAAACAACAAACCCTTTTCAGTGATCCAGGTTTCACCAAAATGAAAGCACGGAGGCCACAAATTTAGACCACAAAAACCTACATGCCCAGATCTTAGACAGAGAACTAGATGAAGAAAGAAATGAGAAATACTTTTGAATCTGCTGTACCTACAAGACAAAATGAGATCCCCACAAAAGCAGTTGATCCATGCAGAGTTCAAGTTTGTCTCCTCCCACCGAGAATTTTCAAAAGAATCCCAAAGACTACAGGCAGACCCAACAGTAAACATGTTTATTAATGCAGAGACTAGAGAATGGTAGTCCAAGTTGGTAAATGGAGGGCTGGCCAAATTAACCACAGTATCAGTATGAGACAACAATTTCTATGCAGGAAAGACAATGCTGGAAAACCCCAACAGATTGAAGACTAGTTCCCCCTGGTAAAAAAAAAAAAAATCATGACAGATGTATGTTTCAACCAGTGAGAGAAAACCAAAGCAAAACAAAAATGATTCTCCCCTTAAGGCTTTGCTCACGATTTCCTCCAGGGAACCAGCAGATGTTCATCTCTCCTTTGCATGTTGAGGAGACCAGTGCACAGTGAGCAAGCTGATAAAGGAAAATGGTTTCTACCAGAGAAAATGGCTTGACTACAGCTCAGACAAGGGCCCGAATCACATTAGCATGTACGGAGCAGTTCCTGTAAACCCCACCCATGCCTGAACCTACAAGGAATAAAAACACCCTGAATATTTGAAAATATAAGTTTCAACTTCAGGCAAGTAGTTCCATATTATAAAGTTAATACTGAAAAAAACATACAAGAAACAAAAACGAGAACATTTGCTGCAGGTCTGTATCTTCTTGAGCACAGTATAAACTTCCAAGAACTAAAGGATATTACACTTTGGGCTGAAACTACTTCTGCATGTTATTTTCATGAAGCCTCTCCATGGTGTGAGACTTTTCGGTGGAGTAAGAAACTAGACTGCTGAGGAAAAGATTTCCCACATTTCCCACATTCGTATGGCCTTTCTCCTGTGTGAATTACGTGGTGTTGAAAGAGGTGACATTTTTGGACAAAAGACTTACCACACTGGCCACACTTAAAAGGCTTTAATCCAGTATGAAGTTTCTGGTGTTGCATAAGACCATTGCTTTCTTGAAAAAATTTCCCACATTCTTTGCACTCGAACGGTTTCTCCCCAGTGTGAGATCTCTGGTGTCGAACAAGCCTAGATTTATAAATGAATGCTTTCCCACAATCGCCACACACATGACGCTTTTCTGCACTATGAGTTTTATGGTGCTTGTTGGGCGTGTCTCTTTGGCTAAAGGATTTCCCATTCTCATCACACCCAGAAAGCCTTGCTGCAGTGTGAATCTTCCGGTGTTCAAGCAGATTATGGCTGTGTGTGAAAAATTTCCCACATTCATCACATGCACAACGCTTTTCGGTTGCATGAGTTCTCCGGTGCCGAACAAGAGTTGACTTGCACCCGAAGGATTTCCCACATTCATCACACTCATAAGGTCTTTCTCCAGTGTGGATTCTGCGGTGTTCAGTAAGGTTGGAAATTTGCCTGAAGGATTTTCCACACTCTTCACACACATAGGGTTTTTCTCCCGTGTGGACTCTGTAGTGTTTTATGAGGGTATCTCTTTGGGTAAATGATTTTCCACACTCACCACATTCATAGGGCTTTTCACCTGTGTGGATTCTGAGGTGGTTATTTAAGTGGGAGGTCTGTCGAAAAGATTTTCCACATTCATTGCACTTGTAAGACTTTTCTCTACCATGGGCTCCTGAGGGATGAGTGAAAGAGTTTTTGCGGCGGTGGACCTTCCCACATTTAGTAGACTCAGAAAGTCTTTTTCCAGCACTGGCTCTTGGGTGGTGATCCTGAGTGTGTTCACGGCTGGTGGCTTCTCTGTGTTCACGCCTCGTGGAACACCCTATTCTAGTTTGAAAGCCCTCTCTACATTCAGTGACTAGGTTCGCTTGCTCACAAATGGGAACAGTCTGTGGAGGGATAATGTCCAGTGCATCCGGAAAGTACTTTTCAACTTCTGCAGAGGGAATGGGCTTTTGTGACACATGAATTCTGTAGTTCTTCACCAGTGAGGCAATATGTGAGTATCTTTTCAAGGTATTTTCTGAGTTGGGATGATTCTGGTCCTGGGGAAGGTTTAAACACATACTGATCAAATGTGATTTCTGCCTAAGTTGATTGACCAGGTTCAAAATGCCTTTCAAGACTGGCAAATATATGTCATGTGGGTGAGACTCCTGGTTAGCTGGACTTGCTTTCAGGGTCCTGACCAGTGAGAATCCTTTAACAGAAACTCGATCAAGAGGTAGCTTTCCATTCTCCATACCTTGCCAGCAATCTGAAAACAGAAATTACTATGAAATAATTTTATTGTGGAAAACATGTATTATTCATGTTTTAAAATATTTTTTTGGAAAATTATCTGTATATTTTATTACTCTTTATTTTATTTTCCTCATATGTTCTCATGTATCCCAAGTTCACCTCAAACACATCATGTAGTTATGGACTACCTTGAATTTTTGATCCTCCAGTCCCAACAGGTGTGCACCGCCTTGCCCTTGTATATGATATTATTGATGAAACACACAGCTTCATACATGCTAAGCAAGTATGCTTATAAAGCTAAGCTTGTAGCTTTTAAAACTAAACTACACCTATAACCCAATAGGTAAAGTGACTTTATTTTTCTAATTCTTAATTTTTAGATTTTTCAGAGTACCAGGAATCACCGCAGGGCACGATATCTTAACCTGTGAGTTGCGACTCCTTTGGGGATGGCATATCAGATATTGACATTATGATTCATAACAGCAGCAAAATCACAATTTTGAAGTAGCAATGAAATAATATTATGGTTGGGGTGGTCACTACAACATGAGGAACTGTATTAAAGGGTCACAGTATTAGGAATGTAGAGGGCCACTGCACTGGGGCTTTTTCTCATCAACTGAGGAATACATCTACAGCTTGATTTTTTGATATCTTTAAAACTGTGGATAGAAGCAAGGCATGAGGGCATGGCGTACTGATATGAGGAAGAGAGAGTTCGATGTGAGTGAGGTGAGGAAGGGGCTGCCAGGGACTGTTAGGTACCACAAATATGGAAACCTTGTGAGACAAAGGACACAAGACTTAATTCTATCACAAACAGGAGAGGCAACGTATTCCTTAGTCAACAGCATTCAGTAAGACCTTATTGTTTGGGGACATTGGAATTATGTACTAAAGATTGAGGAGATGTCAGACGTGTTTAAGGAATATTGAACCATCTATGGACACTTTACAGGGCATGTGTATCAGTACTGGAAAATGTCACAGAGGAGGCAGTACAGAGCAACAGGTAACAAGTCTCCTCCTCTCACTGGGAAACTCATCAGGGGCAACTGTCCTCTGGGACCGAACTACACTGTAAAGCATCCAGGGCTATCTCCACGTCCCTTGTCCCTTGCATGGAACCCACATGAAGCAAGTTCTAAGAGAAACACAAGGCAAAGCAGATGAGCCTCCAACACTGGCCCAAGAGACTCAGCATATTACATGCCCAGGATGGAACATTCTTGAAGGAGGATTTTGGCAGCACCTCATAGTCCTGTATAAATAAATATTGATCAGGACACCGCTTTTCATTTCTGACTCTGGCAGTCAAGATGAGCTATCGTTTAAAAAGAGGCACAGAAATTGAGAAACAAAGCCCCACATATTTAGGTTACAATAACCATAAAAGGAAGTAGGTAAACATGAGACTTATTTTACTGATACAGGGTACCTGATGCCCAGACTCTTAAGGCAATGTTTGGAACAGTGCACATGGCTAGTCCCTCCAAATATGAGAAGATAATAGAGAAGTTAACAGAACTAAAAATCTTGATCTGGAAATGGCAAAGCTATCTGTACTGGAAAAAAAAATGATACTGGCGAATTCATGCATGGGCTGGATATGGGGCCTTACCCAATGAAGTTACAAGTGCAAAGTTCTCTAGCATCACACGAAGGTACAGCTGCCTCTGAGCCTCATCAAGGAGCCTCCACTCTTCCTTGGAGAAGAAGATGGCCACATCCTCAAAAGTCACAAAGTCCTGCCACAATGAGAACAGACGTTTCCATTATCAGCTCTCTTAGAATCCCAAGTTATCGTTCCCTCCCTACAAGTAATTCTGGCCCTTTTGTAATCCCAACCATAGAGGAAATAATTGGTGATAACACGGCCCATGCGCATGATGGTTCCATCCATCACTGTGTCCTCTGAAAGCACCAACTGTGGGAAAGACAACATGGGATGACATTTCAAATCTGGTCATAGTTTATATAGCCCACAGTCAGTTTCCAAGGCCTTTCAAAGTTGTGCCTTTCTGACAAAAGAAGTTTGGAGCTTATCAACCGTTCTCTAGTTTTCAAGGCTACAGCCATGGATCCATACCCCCCACCTCCAATGTATCATTTCACTCTTTACCATACTTCTCAGAAGCCCTCCTTCCCACTTCTACCTCCACCTCGATCTATTTCCAGGGGCTTTTTTCTGTTGCTCTTCATCACTCAGAACAGACCCTTCAAACGCCTCTCCGCCGCCAGCTTACTCATGGAAGGGTTCCTTCTGTCTCTCTGGGACACAGTTAAACAGCTCTACTGTGCCATGGAATCACGGCCTCTCCCTCTCAAAGCTGCAAGATAAACTTATTATCCAACTGAGGACTTGGCACCTAGGTACTTAAATGGTGTGGAATTTCCTGCCAGCTCTTCAGAATTTGTAACTCAGAGATGACCTTATTCCAGAGGATTTCTCTGCAGGCTTGTCCCCATACTGCTATGCAGGGTGGCTGGAACTTCTACTCCATTACCTTGGACCATCTCTTCATAATGTCCTTCCCTAAGTCTTAAAAGGAAGCTCCTCTTTCTCTTGAAATCCCAACTAAAGCTGTCCTTATTGTGATCTACTGTCCCTCCTCATCTTCTTCCACCTCACAGCCCTATTATACACACACGGTCACAAGGTCCTCTCCCCAGGAATTCTGAGGAAGGGTGACTGATTTCAGCTTCATCTCCACAGACATGTAATTCCTAACTTGCACTGTGTTACAGCACAAAGGGTCCGTGGCAGCTTGATACAGGATCCCTGATGGTCCACACTGTCAGAGGCAGCCCTAGTTCGGTTCTCAAGTTCTCTGAGTTAGTCTATTTTCATTAACATAACAACACGTATAAGGCAAGCTCCTTTATAAAGGAAAGAAGTATGTTTTGCTTTGTAACTGAGGTGCAAGGTGTGAGGTCTTTTTGGTGATAGCCTTCATGCTGCAGGCAGGGTCCTGAGGCAGGAGAGTAGCATATGATGAGATAAGAAGTAAGGAGGCCATGTGTGTGTGACCTCTTTTATAAAGACATCTGAATTCAGCCACGGTGAGGAGGACAACCTTAATGAGTTAATTTTATTCTAATCACTCCTCAAAGATTCTAAACACTTCAGCCAGATAAGTTTCTAGCCTATTAATACCTGACACTTAGGATTATATTCCATTACATGAAGTCATGGGGTTGGGAACGCAACCATACAGGAATCACAGTAGATTGCTTGACTTCCACATTTCAACTTTAGCCAGCCAGGAAAACCTGCAGATCTCAAACACACATCATCTTCAACTATATGGAACCCGATGTACCCTCTCTATAGTCACTGCCTTTCTCTTTTCCTGACCCCATTCAGTGGCCTGTCACAATGTCCTTCTACATGAGACCCTGTGACTCTTTCCGATTAATGCCTATGCCCCTAAAAGTATGACCCACCTGAACCTCCTCAAACACACTAAGGGTGACTACAGAATTCCACTAGATCCCTAACGCTGCAGCCCTGGAATATAGTTCTTCATGTTGTGGTGACTCCCCAACCATAAAGTGATTTTCGTTTTTCATTACTAATTCATAACTGTACTTTTGCTTCTGTTATAAATCGTAACCACATCTGTTTTCCTATGCTCTTATGTGCCCTCTGAGCAAAGGGCATCCCACCCTCCTCATGGGTTGCCAGCCACAGGTTGAGAAGCACTGCTCTCTCTGTCACTCCTCAAGACCACTGACAGATGTGGGGAGAGTGAATCAGCCATGGCAGGTTCCCAGGCCAGATGAGGAAGTGACGATCCTCTCCCCCTGCCTTCTACAGATAGCAGGAATGTCAACAGTCCCCTAGCATCACCACTGTCATGGTGTTGCTCTGTCACTGTACTGTTTTGCTCATTCACTGGCATCGTTAAGGGACTAAGAGATTTTGTAGATCAATTTCTGTTCCATAATGGCCAACAACCATAATACACCCATAAGAAATTATCTAAGAGGTAACACTTCCACACCTCATTTGCTCTGGTTTCCAGCACACAATAACCACTCCATATACCTCATACCCGCCCCCCCCTCCCCGACTATCTGCCCAGGTCTTCAGCAAACCAAGTTTGGTCACGGATTCCAGAACACACAATCCCTAGGGCAAAGAATGGGACCAGCCCCAGTGACGCCCTAGAACGGTCACGCGAACTTCTGAGAAAAGGTAGGTGGTGAGAAGCCATTACCCATGCTTGGGGCTCCAAGTGCACACGCCTCCTCATTTCTCTGCCTTCTCTGCTCAGCCCTTGAGCCAGGTGACCTGGGAAGAACTCGATGATGGACGTCTCTCGGCCCTCAAATCCCCAATGTTCGTTCTTACATGACAATTTGCACACAGTTCACCTTTTCCTGGGCTTCACCTGACCCTTTTCCAAACGGTTCTACCTCCAGATAGAAAGCATAGAAAACTTCAAATAAGCCGAAATCGGACTGTGTGCTGAGTTCAACACCGGCCACCAGCTTCTGGCTGTGATCTCACCCAGCTCAGCACGCTCCCACAGCCTGATTCTGGATTCGGAAATGGGAGCCCATCTGTAGGTATGGCACTGTTTTGAACACAGAGATTTCTACTCTGCCGATGGCCCTGCGCTAAGCTTTAGGGTGAAGGGAAGCACAAGCGACACAGCACTCACATGAGCTGGGTCGCTGCGGGTGGCCACCGCCATCGGATTCTGCTGGTGCAGCGGGAACAGCGAAACCAACGCAGCACCTCAGTCCAGCCCGAAGGGAGCAGGGACAACGCTCCGCTGGAACCCAAACCCGCACAGCTAGCCCGAGCAGTGTGGGAACATGAGGATGAACACAGCCTTATGAACTATCGTTCTCGGAGTAGTGCAGCAAGTTCCCTGGTGAAGGGATGGATGCAGAGACGTTGGCCTAGGAGCCTTTTAATGGCATTGGCGAATTGCATTCTGGGCAACGTAGTTTCCAGAGGATCCAGGCTTGTGCTATTGATAACCAAGAGAACTCTAGCCAAAGTAACTCTCCAACCTCATAAGTGTAAGAAACAGGAAGTGTCTTTCCTCCTTTCTTCCTCCTTCCCTCTTTCTTTCCCTACCTCTCTCTTCCTCCCTCCCTCCTTCTTCCCTCTGTCCATCCCTCTCTTTTTTCCTCCCTGCCTTTCTTCCTTTCTTCCTCTACTCATTTCTCCCCCCTTATATCCATTCTTTCCTTCCTTACTTTCTCATTTAAATTAAATTTCTTATGTAAAATTTTATATATTTATGGAGTTCAGTGTGATATTTTAGCACACGTAGACATTTGTATGAGTCAGAATTTCTATTGTTGCGATAAAACACCATGACCAAAATAAATAAATAAAATAATAGAAATCAACCTTGGGAGGAAAACATTTATTGAATTTTACACTTTCATGTAAATCCAACACTGAAAGAAGTGATAGCAGGAACTCAAGTCTGACAGGAACCTGGAGGCAGGAAATGGAGCAGGTGCCATCGAGGAGTGCTGCTTACTGCCTTGATCCCTATGACTTGCTCAACTTGCTTTCTTACTGCTTCCAGGACCACATATACAGGAATGACACTGCCCACAGGTAGCTGGGTCCTCCATCACCAATAGTTAGTCAAGAAAATGTGCCATAGCCTGTCTCCAGGCCAGTCTTATGCTTTGGAACAAACTTCGTACATTGTTTGTATGGCTCTCATTCTTAATAAAAATGTTGATTGGCTGATGGCTAGGCATGGTTTTCAGAGCAAAGAATGCTGGGAATAAGAAGAGTGGAGTCAGAGGAGTCACCAGCCAGACAGGAAGAATGCAGGATATGCAGAAGAGGTTAAAGCCATGAGCCTTGGTCAGAACATAGATTGATAGAAATGAATTAATTTAGGTTGTAAGAGCTACTTAGTAATAAGCCTGAGCTATCAGCAGAGCATTTCCAGTTAATAAGTCTCTGAGTGCCTATTTCAGAAGCGACTGGTGGAAAAGAGATGATCAAGGTCCCAATGAAAAACTCTGTCTACACTGATATTTTTTAAATGAGGTTATGTCTTCCCAAATGATTCTAGATTCTGTCAAACTGACATGAAACTAGCCAGTACAACACCAATTTAAAGAAATCAGAGAAATTAGTCTTTCCATTTCTTTATTATTTTATTTATCCATTTACTTTAGAGGCTAGGTTTCACTTATTGCAACCTGGACTCATACTTGCTATGTAATTGAGGATGACATTGATCCTCTTGCCAATATATCGAGAGTGATGAGTCTTTATGCCCAGTGGGATTGAACTCTAGGCTTTGAGCATAGTAGGAAAATACTCTACCAACTGAGCCACATGCTCAGCCCTCATTTATTTAGTTTTCATAGAGAATTCTTTGTAATTTAGCCATAATATCCTTTTGTCTTCAGTCACTTTCTTTTTCCTGCTAGTCTCCTTCCTTCACTCCCCTTCTGCTTTTGTGTATACAAGTATTTACATATACATAAAATGATAGCTGTTTACATTAATAACTGCCTCAGACATTTGTTTCTCATGACTTCCTTCTTTGAACAGGCTTGCACAACTATAGAAGTACTCATGGCTTTAATGGACGTGAATTAAAGGTTTGTCTGTAGCCTTACTGAAACTGGTTCCATTCTTTAATTTTGGCAGTACTTTCTGTACCGAGGTAGACTCTTTGCTGTTGAGCGCTAAAACTCTTAAACATCATTTTGTCCCTGAGTTGGCTTTATCTGCACAGAGCTGTGTGCATCTGTTTCATGTTCATCTGCTTCAGATGAACATATTTTTCCACAGAGCTTTCCACACATGGTAAATTCCTCACACAAATGAGAGAAATGTAGCTTTTCCTAACTGTTGGCTGGGGTTCCATCAAGCTATCACTCAGTGGGTTCCATGTGAGACACTGGTATAAAAGCCCAAGTTCTATAGCAGCTGTAATCACTGCATGGAGGCAAAGGGATCTCAAAATTCAAGGTCTTCCTCGGTGGCATATCAAGTTTGAGTCCTGCCTGGGGTAAGTGAATCCTAGTTTCATAAGTAGATAGATAGATAGATAGATAGATAGATAGATAGATAGATAGATAGATAATAAATATAAAGAAATGGGGAGCCTAATTATTCTGATTTCTTAAAATAAGTACAGTATTGTACTAGCTACTTTCTTGACAATTTGACACAAAATAGAGTCATTTGGGAAGAGGGAACATCAATTGCAAAAATACCTGCATAATATTTGCCTGCATAAGACCTTGGGAGTAGAAGGCACACAAGTCACTCCTCAAGATAGGATGGAAATATCACCATGAGCAGTGTGGTGAATTATCCTTTGAGACACAGTCACCATCTGGGAGAGGACAAAATTACTACTCTTAAGCCCTAATGGTCATCAGTCCCTTCTGGAGTCAAGGACTCTTGCTCAGGATATCCTCAAAACTCCTGCCTATGAGAATCTGGATAGAGAAATATCCTGAAGGTCACTCTGGAGTTATGGAGACTGCCTACTAACAGTCAATTGCCTGGAATCCCTTTGTTCTACTGAATAGGAATCATGGGTAGACTGAGAAAGTTTGAAAGCACTAGTCTTCGGCAGCATTTAAATATTCATTTTCCTTTAATTTTTATTTACCTGTTTATCAAAAGACCTGGATTGCATGAAGGAGTGTGAGCCAACATACTTCAGATATCTCATGGCAAGCATCAGAGAAATGCTACTTAGAGGAATTGTGGCAATTTGTTTGTGATGTGGAAGCTACCAAGGACATGTCGTGCTGTGAGAAGCCCTTCTGGTCACTCAGTTAAAACAGAAGAGAACTTTTTTTCCAGCCTCATCTTGGACATAGATCAATCCAAAGGCTCCTAGTTTCTGAGGGACTTCTCTGGGAAACACTACAAAGGAATTGGCTAAAGCCATCTAGTTGAGAACCAGGCCTGTGGGTCTCACATTTTGTTCAGTAGGCAAAGTGAAGTTATGCAGGCCGAGGACACGGAAGTTTTCTGGGATTTCCACTCCCATCTCTGTATGGAAGATAATTCTTGTATCCTACTTGGAAAGACTCATCACTTCAGTATGCTTGATGTAATGGTTTTGATTTTTGCTTAAAAAATAGTTGGATAAACATAAAAGATTGCTACTAACCTCAAGTATTCCTAAGTATGTATCAAGTCTTAAGCTTTGACATATTGGGGCATATTTGTATTATTAAGTTAATTATATTTAAAAAAATCCCTTCCTCTTTCCATTCATTCTCATTCCTCTCCTTCTTGCTTAACTGTGTACCTTGCTTTGCTACTTCCATACAAGGACATTCTTATGATATGAATCGATTCTCTTTCTCTAGAGTCTATAGGTATAATAAACTTGCACTTCTCCTGGTATTCCCTAAATTCATGGCTTTCTAGTAAAAATAAATAAATAAATAATATATGGATTTTAGGCTTTGAAAAACAGAAGAACATTTAGGACTAGTTAGATGGCTCAGCACGTGAAGATGATTTCTACCAAATCTTACAACCTGGCTTAAATCCTGGAGCCCACCTGAAGGAAACAGAGAACCAACTTCTGCAAGTTTTCTTCTGACCACCACATGTGTCTGAACACACACTCACACACAGACAAACTCTCCCCCCCAACAAACATACACACCTAACTAGATACGTGTGACCAAAATGCAAGAAACCATTCAGCATACTAAATACATAAATTCTGTGTTCTCTTTTATAAGCATATATTACAGCTTTACCATGTAATTGAAAATTAAATAATTTAAATCCTTCATAAACAGTACAATTGCAATAATTGAAAATCAAGGGGAAGCTATATGTGCACCTCTAGAAGAGTCACTGTTTGTGGCAGACTAAGTACTTGGTGAAGATAACAGAAGTAGAGGTGGCTGGAGGAGAACATTTTTAAAAATTTATATTATGCTTTTCCTTCATTCATGAATGCATTGTATTTTGTTCAAATGCATCCTTTACTCTCTGCCTCCCTTGAATTCTCCCTACCATCTTTATGCCCTCCCCCTTCTCTATGTAAGTGCACATAACCTATTAAATTCAGTTAGCATTATACACATGCTCATGGCTGTAGAATTACCAGAAATACCAGAGGCAACCTATTCGGAACCCCACATCTGAAGAAAGTTCACTTTGTCTTCCCCAGTAAATTGTCTATAGCTTCTCAGCTAGAAGTGGGCCTTGCAACCTCCTCACTGTCCATGCTGAGTCAGTAACTAGAGAGATCTCCTGTCAGCAAATACCGCTGTTGAGATGTCAGGAATGTAACTGCCTGTGTATCCAGACGATATTGTTTCCGAGTATTATTCTCTGATCTCTGGCTTTTACAACCTTTGTACCCCATCTTCCACGAACTTCCCTCAGCTTGAAGGGAGAGGGTGTGATATATATCAGAATTCCACAGTGAGTCACTCTCTGCATTTGGATTATTTGTGTTCCTCATGTTAAATTCTATCAACTTCAAAAATAAGCATCCATGGATGAGAGGTGTGAACTGGACAGGACAAAGATAAGAGTATAAGGATAAGTATTTCAAAGGCAGTTGGAGTCTGTGTACATTTAGAAAAATGTTGGCAGTGGGAGAACATGATCTTTTTTTCCTATCTGTGGACACTGATACACATATCTCATAAGAGAAGAGATAAGATGAAATCTAGAAATAAAACAGGCAGGCATCAGTTAAAACAGAACCAGTAAGTGAATATAATGTGGTGGAGAAGAGTTCTTTTTTTAAAAATTTTTTTGTTTATTTTTTTTTTAGTTGTTGAAAAAAAAATTTCCGCCTCCTTCCAATTTCCCATTCCCCTCCCCCTCCTCCCACACACCGCCCCCTCCTCCCTCCCCTCCCCCTCCCCCCTCCC